AATTCTTTAAGGTTGATAAATTTTAACCAATTTAATTTAGAGCTTCAAATACATAATACTCGATCGTCTAATTATGATTTTTGCATAAAGAATTTAAAACATTCTATTCTGCATATTTTTCAAAGCAAACATGTTGACTCTTGTGTCACTGTGTGACTCTCCGAGTTGTCCTTTGGGAATCGCCGACGCTATTTGGTAACCCCATTTGGCCTGCATTTTGCGCGCTATTTCGATTTTAGTCCTCTGTGCATAGCAATTCATGTTGCGATTGGGGTGTCCCATGTCGTCCACTGTGGGCCACATTGGTCCAGGTAGCCGGCGGGCGTTGCAAGTGGCCAGATATGTGTTTGTGTTTGTGATTGTGCCTCTGTCTGTGTCTGTGACTCTCGTTTCAGGCTTTGGGTTTGTTAATTTTTTATTAGATTTGTTGCAGCGTCTGCACTGTGCCCATAATTTTTGTGTGACTGTGTATGGCAAATTGTTGCTTCTAAAGCGGCTCACTTTCCCGACTTTCTCGCCCTCTGTTCCTCTGTCCACTTCGCTCACTTCGACGTTGGCAAAAATTCAATCAAAAAACTACAAGCGTAAACAAGTGGGTAACATGGCCAACTCATGTATCGTTTCCACTTCAATTTTCAAGTGTTTTCCTTTCTGTTCAAGCCGCATTTTTGTTTTGGGTATGTGCTGTGCTTTTATCGTTATGCCGCATTTTAGTTTTCCTTTCGAATTGAAAATCGCAGCTGGCAAAGTTGGTTTTTGGCCAGGTTTAAACTGCCTCGCTGGCAATTTGTGCCTACACTCCAGTCAGCCCCATTCCAGCCACACCTCCCAGCTCCTTAATACACCTAACAGCCGCGCTAAGTCCTGGCAGGGCTTTGGCTCAGACGCCGTTCAAGAAGTATTTGCACGCATTTTGCGGCCTAAAAGTATTCAAAGGCCTAAATTACTTGGCGCACACCGCTGCTGCTGCTGCTATCTGCTGTTTTTTCATCTACTTGTTTTTGTTTTTTGTGTGCTCTTGCATATGGTGGGTATTTTGTTTTTCTGCTGTGACTTGTAGATTGTTCAAAGCGAAGCAAATGCTTGCCTTTTGCAGGATCAGTCTTTACAAATAATAAACAAAAGCGTATGCCATATTAGCTGTGGATATGAAACAAGTGATGAGGTGAAATGTTGGTTAGTCGACTATCTGATTAGATTAATTAGTCAAGCAGTCAGTAAATTAGTCAATTGGTCAATCATACAGTCAATAAGCAAGTCAGTCAGTCAGTCATTCGGTTAATCAGTGGGTCAGTCAGTCAGCTGGAAAGTCTTTTGGCTAAGCAGATAGGGAGTCGGTTAATTAGTCTGTCCATCAAACAATTAGTCAATCAATCGGTTGTATATTTGCAAAGTTATTTATAACATATGCAGAGCATGAAATCAAGAGTCATCCGTCAGACCGTCAAATTTTTTTCAATCAATTAGTTGTATATTTAAATGATATATAAAATGGGAAGAGTATTAAATTAAATGATTGCCAATCAGACAGTTAGTCGGTCAATCAGTCAGTTAATCAATCGGTCATATACATGCATGAGATACAACCTGTTTAGACAGACGGTAATTTGATCAATCAGTCAATCAATCAGTAAGTCAATCAACTACTTGTATATTAACATGAAATATAACCTGTACAGAGCATTATATCAAAAGCATGTCAATCACTCAGTAAGTTTATCAATCAGTCCGCTTATTAGTTAGTTCATCAATCAGTCAATCAAAATAGATATTTATATTAATATGTCCTGTGCAGAGCATTCAATTGAAAGTCAGTCAATCACACAGCTTATTAGCTAGTCCGTCAATCAATCAATCTGTTATATATTATCATTCGATTATATATTTACCTGATATATAACTTTCGCAGAGCATTAAGTCTTCGACATTTCCAAAGAATTTTCGCTATTTTGTTTTTATTGCTGATTGTTCCACTTGTTTTTGAGGATAACAATAAATTTTTATTGTTGTTACGCTCGCCTTTCGCTTTTTTGTTTGTTTGTTGTTTATGTTTCGGTTACAGTTGGGTTTGTTCTTTCTTTTTCCCTATTTTTTTTTCTAGGGGGGTTTTCGCTTTCGCGCTGTGGTTGGGCTACCCGTCAAGAGTGGCCGTCTTATTTATTGATTTCTGGCTTTTTTCTATTTCTATGCTGGCATTTTGGCAAAAAAAAAAGAAAAACTTTTTGGCGGCTGCGGCGATGACTGCGGCTGACAAATGGTTTGAACTTTGTCAAAAGTTTTCATTTTGTCTAGTTGTTGCTGTTGTTGCCGCTGTCGAGGAAAACTTCATTTAATCTAATTAAATTGCTGCACAGTAACTGTAAACTTCATTAAGTTTTTCGCACAGCTTCTACACATCTGTTGTTGCCAACAATGAGCCAAGTTAATGTTCCCGAACATTGTCAGGGGCTGGCGGGAACTTGGGGCGGTCTTTCATTGTGTAAATTGTCATAACTTTAGCTCTGTTTAAAGTTGTTGTTGTTGTTGCAATTAGCTGTGGCAGCTGGTTTTTCCTTTAACCTGTTGTGCTTTCAACTTTCGGGCGGAACTTTTTGGCTTAAGCAGTCGGTTGCATAGTTTTTCATAAGGTTCTTTGCCAAGCTTTGTCTAGGAAGTTGCTGTTGTATGCCAAGAAATAGCATCGCAACATTTGACTACAGTCATTCAAATGGGTTTCAAGTACTATGGGCAACAACTGCTCGAGCATGCCTTAGAATGCCAACTAGATGGAAGTTGGCTGTGTCAAGCATTTCCACTTTGCATATATGTAAATGTGTGTTAGCACTTTTCTAGAGCACTTTATGGCAATTGCCAGTCTTTAATTAAATACATTTAAAATGCTTGATGTAATCCGATTAGTTTCTATAAATATGCCATGAAAAATAAGCGGATTAGCTTCAACTCGTACAAAGAAATGCAAGTGGCACAAATCCGCTTAGAGCGCATTACAAGTTTATGAATTTTACGGACAACAAAACAAACGAATAATAATTAAGTTAAATTAATCAATTAAAATTCGATTAAGGAAGCTACTTACTGGATATGTATTAATATAACAAAAATTACTTAATTATATTTTTAATTCTCTAATGATATTTTGGCCACTTAAAAAATATGTGATATAAATTTCTCTTTAGTTTCTGAGCAGATATATCTGACATTAGATCTAAATTAATTCTCTTTAGCTCTTGAGCAGATGTTGCAAAATCTTGGATCCAAAATACTAAAAAATATAAAACTGTAGAAAAAAGATGTATGTATTTATACATATTGTATAATAAAGTGATTTTTAATTCTTTTTTTTTTTCGGTGTGGTATGGTAGAATATAGACTTTTATTCCCGAAAAATTTGTAATACATATTTCACAAATCCATTTCTCTGTTTTATTTCCAGTTCATTTCACCTTATTTTGAAAATGGTTTATTAATTATTAAATTTGTGTTTTTTATATACTAAAAAATAAACCATTTTTTTTTTAATATTTTAATAGTTCAAAAATATTTGTGTTAATTTATAACTGAATCGCCGTAATACACTTCCACAAAGCCTTTCCTCAGGGTTTTGTTTTATTTCAAGTTGATTTCCTTTTGATTTTCAGTATGGTATATTTCCCATAAAGTTTTATTCGCTGCTTCGCTTGCATAAAAAATCTGTATTAAACCGTCCTAAGCATATGTTTTGCTTATGCATTTTCCATTGTGCTGCAATAACCCGCAAGTTTTTCTTGTAGTACAGTTTGTCATAATTTGCAACTGCTGCAGCGCATTGCAGCGACTACCATGTTGCAGCTCTCCCCACAACTCGCCCCACACTTGTTCTTATTAACTGCTCAGCCATTTGTAGTATTGGAGTTAATACAGTTGGGGAGGCGGGTTGGGTGGGCGATTGCAGGGCAATGGCTTGGAATTTGGAGTGCATGTCCTTGTTGCTTGTTGCTGTTGTCCCTATAGCTGGCGTTCTTGCTGTCCTTTGACTATGTCGCTGCATAATTTATGACTGCTTAGTTGCAGTTGGCTTTTTTGTGCCGCCTGCTGCTTGCTGCTTGCCACATGCCGCATGGCACTTGCCACTTGCCACTTGCCACTTGCTGGCAGTTGTGCAGTGCACTGCCAAGTGCTGACCTCTCTGAGCGTAGCATGAGACGTCTGTCTCATGCCTCAGTGCGTGGCAGGACTACTAAATCAGCTGCAATTCGATGCGATTGATACCCTTTGCATTTGCATAGGTTCAAAAGGACTTTAAGCGCCGCGGGTCAATTGGAAATGGCCCGAAGTGCGGCAGCACTAACTCAATTATTAAACCATTTCATTGGTCAGCCAGACAAGTTGAGATTTACAAGAGATGCCCGATGTCCGATGCCCGCAGTCTACACCCGCCTTCACACACACACACACGCACTTACAAGCAGCTAATAAATTGTAGTCCTTTAGCATATGGAAAGCATAAGGACCTCCCTTGAATACAGCTGCCCACCCGCAGGGCATAAAATGTGTTGCTGTTGTTTTTAGTGGCGGCGGCTCCAGCTCCAGCTCCAGCTCTTGTTCTTATTGTTGTACTTAATTAGTGTTATGGTAGCAGCGGCCACAACTCATCTGAAATTTATTAAAGCTGGCACATTTCAGCGCCGAGCGAATGAAATGCGTCATTAATTTTAACCCAAGTAAACAACACGATAAAAATGCCATAAGAAAGAAAGGAAATTTGTTACAATTTTCTTTACGATCTTCTCTTATGCAACTATGTATAAAAAGAAAACCCCAAAAATTGTTGAAGATTTTGCTGTAAAGATTGGAGAAAGAAGTAATGCAATTTAAGCTGATGTGTTTTGTATTTAAGTGCATGGACATTTTGTTATAAAGAAAAGCTGCACTTCAAATGGGATCTTTCGACAAGAGATATATTGTATATATTATGAAATACAAAGTCTTAAGCTATATCTGTCGTGCTGTATTTTAAAACAGGTATAGTTATTTCGGACAACTATAACTACTACATTATCATGATTTGTATAGCTAACCATTCGTGAAAATCTTCGCCCGTTAAGGTGAGATATTGGAAAAAATTATTAAACTGAAATTCGCGATCTCTTGGAGCTGCATTGGCGAATCTATTAAAGAAATCAACAGTAAAATATTCAGCACGGCCTGTTGCGGTCCTCGATCTGCGTATGATTTCACGAGCCTCCGACTCGAAGGCCGTGTAACGTTGAGCGTTGCCTTCCATGAAGCGGGCGTTCATGTTGTCATAGGCGCCCTTTGTGTATAGGTTTAGCTGTTCTGTGGCCTGTTGAGATCCGTCTCCCTTTGGCAGCAGATTTCTTATCTGGCTGCTAAACTGCGTAATGCCGTTGTCATCTGTTGGCAGGGTCGCAACTCTGGGCGTCCATTGCTCGATAAAGTCGTTCCATTTCCTTATTTCTTCTTGATCTGCCACCGCACAGCTCACAATCAATCGGGCTAGCGAGAGGCAGAAGTTGACGCTATCCTGTCTGATAAGTTTCTTAGTGTTTCGGGCAGACTGGGCCAGTTCCTCTCGGAGATCTTCAGTTGGAGCGGCGGCGCCTACGAGGCTCTGCATGAAGGTTGGGACTTACAGAAACTTTTCCGAGTCTGTGCTCTTGATACATACCAACAGAGCGAGACCAACTGCAAACGAAGAATGCATCTTTAAGAATGCTTACAATCGGTTTAACATCCCAATATATATTTTGGGAGGCAATTAATATATATAAATAAAATGACATTCGATGCGCAAATAAAAATCTGCTTTTCTTAGAAGCGTTGAAAATTATCGCATATTCAAGCCGGGGGTCAATTGTAGGTCGCATTGTTGTGCAAAGTCGTACGCTTATGTGCATTTTAAATAGTCTTTATTTCAGATTTATTGTTGAATTGGGCCGAAGTCCCGGCGATACTGCAATGCCGGGCCAACCCTTGACAGAGGTGGAGCAAGCCCCTAGCACTCCGTCTGATTCCAAAAATCAGTTTAACATTTGTTGTTCTCCAATGGAGAAACTATCAGATGTTAAGCTGATAAGAACAGATACTACACTTTGATCTTAGCCATAAGGCCGAGAAGCGATAACTTGTTATCAATAAATACCCAGGCCTCTATGTGGCCACAGCTAAAACCAGTTGCGAATTATAAGCGAGACACGTGTGTGAAACTAACTTGTGTACATTATCAATGCCTACTTAGGGGTAGTGCTGTGTACACTGTTGTATATTTCAGGGGTTGTTCGGATGCAACTCTCCTATATAATATAATTCACAACTAGTTTAGGCATTGCTTAAGGTAGAGTCAAGGTGTTTAATTGGGTTAATTCACTCTGGCTTCTCTTCAGTTGTCGAATAAATCTTTCGCCTTTTACTAAAGATTTCCGTGGAGAGGAGCACTCTAATGAGTCTAAATTGAATTTTTCGCGTGCCTGGTGACTTTTGGTTGCCGGGCCATTTAAAAATGTATATAGTATTGAAGGGAGTAATCTATCAGATATATAAGTATATATTTCAGTATTGCTGGCATATTTACCAAATGTTTATAATGTGCCTACTAATGCGTTTGAACTGTATGCACTCGAGATTTTTATATAGGTTTACGATTATATTTTACAGTTTGAGTGTTCGTAATTTTGGGTTGTAAAATGTCGACACATAAAATTTAATAAGCGCTTTAAATTGCGCCGCACTTGTTGTCGGCAGCTGTTGCGCGTCCTTTTTAATGGCCTCCTCCTTGGCAGCCTGCGGCTTGCCTTTTATGTGTGTCAACATTTATGACAGCTACAAAAGTCAATTAGCCTTACCAAACACCAAATCCCCAAATGGGCGTTTCCTTTCTCGCTTTAAGCCAGCCAACTCTCCCTCTTTAATTTGTTCTCTTTTTGTATTGCTTGGCGAATGTTGACATGCAAGTCGCATCGCTTGACTTAAACTGTTGCCTAATTAGTTAGTTGAAGCGTCTAACACATGATGATGAATGCCTAAACAGTTGATACGTGCACAGATAATAGTATAGCAATAGGGGGAGGATGGGACGCATGTTAACTATGTCAAAGAGAGGTAAATCGTGGGTGGCATAATATCTGTGGGCTTCTGCAGGAAAGGAGTTTCAACAATAAAGCTTTGCTAAATGCATTGCTACAGATTTAATTTGATTAATTTATAGGATTCTACTTTACGTGCTGGAAACCTTTCTAATATTTAATTGATGGTTCGAGGTCTGGGTTTCGAAGTCAGAATAATGTTATCCCTGAATAAGAAACAAATAAAATGTTTGGCCCGCCGAAGACTTAATATCCTTGTACACATTTGCCATATGGGATATTGATAGATATGAAGCTCGTAAATGCAGAGTTTGATGAAAATATCTTGGAAAACAGGCCATTTTGCCATACAAAAACTCATCATGTCGACCGATTCTTTCTATAGAGCTTTATAATAAAGTAGTTCGATGTTGATGAGACATAGCGTAGATATAAGCAGCATAGCTTAAATAGAGATGCCGAGTTTGGTCAAGAAACGTAGATAAACAAAAAGGTTTATTTTGCATACGGTTACCGTCATACTCCAGTAGACAGTAGATGATTAATCTTTCTTTATGGATTTGGATAAGTTCTCTTCTATTTCACATTTCATGACGAAATTATAATACCCTCTACAAGGGTGAAAATATATGAAATGAGCAGTTGTAGGCCTCAAATACAATCGTGCCCCCGTTGGATTAGGCATTATTTTTGTATACCTGCCACGGTAAGCATTTTGCTATTTGTATTTCTATGCGAAGTTTTGATAAGTAAATAATAAAGCAAAAAGGCAACGTATTCATTTATATTAGATACGCAATGGCACAGTGCTGGACATTGATATGGATCTCAGTGAAATAAATCGCAAATGAAAGGGAGCTAGAAAACCATTTAAGTTAGATATTTGCCAAATGCCAATTGCAATGATTGAAGCGATATAGAAAATGCAGCTAAGCTGCTCAAGATCTGGTCAGAGATGCTTGGAACCTTTTAAACACTTCTAATCAACTGAATCGCATTGTGCATCAAATCAGTCAGATTTGCCTGGCTGTGGATATTGCTTTTTCTGTGTGTGTATTTGGCTTATAAATTTAGTCAAAGCACGTAGCGTAAAGTTGGCAATAAATCCGGAAAACCCAACCGTCCGTACCAGCTTCCCCTCGCTTCCTCTCTCCCACACACACACACATATACGCAAATACGCACAGGACGCCTGCTGTGTTACACGTGGCGTATTAACAATATCGACATGGGTAAACAAGTCCAGGGGGTAGCTCTTTGCTGCTGAGGGGGTGAAAGTAATTTACACTTTTTCGACTTGAACTTTTGCTTGAATTCATTTTGATATTTACTTTCTACTCTCCCTTTCTCTCTTTCCCGTTTTCAGTCAAATTAAACCATTCGCTGTGAGTGCAACAAAAATTAACACAAATGTATCATAAAGTGACATATCTCGATGCAGAGCAAGTGCTACCCCAAAGACAGAGACAGAGCCTTGAGCAACCCCAAGGACAAGGACACGTGTTAAACATCCTTATCCATAGTCATTATCAGTGAGGCCAGTATGCCGAACCTTCATCATGTTGACTACAATCGGAAATATTCCGCCACGGAAACGATACAGGTAAGTGATTGCCCGCCGGCCAATACCCTAACCACTTCAAGTGGCCCCATTTAAAATTCAACTTGAGTGCGGTAATTAAAAATAAGACATTTATTTACGATCGCTGCCCCTGTGGCACGCGACCTCGACTGGGCGTACCCCTGCGTTACCCCCAATACCTGCCCCAACTTGCGTCCATTTGTCGATTTTTCACACCCGCGGACAAGGGTTCATTCTTGCTATCTCTTTCTAACTCTGGATGCCGTCTTGATTGATGCGCACGTTTTGTTGTCTGAGCAGCTCAACAAATTAATTGAAGAGTTTTGTTTTTGGGCCTTTTTTCTTTTGCTTTTTGGGCTGGCTGCCTCTGCCTGTGCACGCCCTTTTGCCCACTAATTGCTGTCATAAATTTGAACTCTAGTTCGAAATAAACATTCTTGAGGCCGTATACGTCTACGGTGTTTGGATTAATAGCTTAGTGGGGTGTATTAGACGTGTGAAAAGTTATGTAACTGATTAAAGAGGGGAAAAGTGCACAAATGGAGAGAAATTATATGTTAATAAAATGTATTCATTTAAATGGAGGAAGAGAGGTTTATTTGTTATATAGATATATCTAAAGCGATAGGTATATAAGATTTTTGCATTTTATGAATGATAAATACCTTTGAAAAACATACCCTTGCGATAAATATCAAACAAAAACTTGATTTTATTACAATAATTCTATGTTATTATCGTTCAGTTCTTAAGATTTCGCTTTTAATTGATAGCTCGAGTTAACTTGAAAAGGTTTTTCATAAGAACTAAATTCTTAACCGCTAGCGGCTATATAAGCCTTATGATATGCCGATCCCATATGACAGCCTTTACCTTACACTTGCCTGCCCGGGACTTATTGCATAGAATCAGCTGTTGCTGAAATATATATTGATATATATATGTATATATTAACTTGATGGGATGATATCTTATCTGACAGCTTTTACTACATGTACATGGACTTGTTGCATAGAATCAGTTTCTGCTGAAGAGTATATACAAATCTCTATACTTATATATAACTTATATATTGTCAATTATTTTATATAGAATCGTATCCATGTACATGATAACATATTTGCATAAATGATATTTGAAGTTAAGTGTTCAGTGTTTTGATCAGAGTTGAATGATTTACTAATGCTTTTTTCTAATTTTCTTTTTTAACTTGGCAATTCCACAGCCAAGGACTAGGCTGGGACTTTATATTATAAAGTATCCAAATGTTAATCCTTTTTCTTCACTTGCCTGAATAACTCGCCTTCTTAAAGAGTACAGAACAGCAGTTGGCCTCTCAGCTTTATGCATTGCAGGGCCTTTGCGAGTCGTTTAGCTCAAGCTAGCTACTGTTATCTCAGCTTTTGGCGTTCCCACGTCCGTTTTTCTTTGTTGTTGTTGTTGTGGTTGTTGTTGTTGCACTTTTAATCACAAAAACAACAAAAAAGCGTCGGCAAAGTTTGCCACTGCCGTTGCTGTTGGTCGTGCTTTGTTTTTGCTTTCTGTTGCATACAAAACGGCGCTTCCGCATGCCGTCACATGGCCGGAGTCGAGCCCCAGAATTGTGTGTGTTGTATCTATATATACAAACATACATAGATACACACATATTTATATATATATATATATATGTATGTATGTATGTGGGTCTGGGTCTGGAACTTGATTAAGTAGTTTCCGCGTGTTTTTATTTGCACAATAAAAGCATAAAATTGTTGCCCGTTTATTAAAGCCGGGCAAAAAGTGGCAGAGCAAAAAGTGTGAAGTGGATGCTTTTTCCACTGGCGCTCGGCTCCCTGGCAGACAAGGACTAACGGGCGAAATGCTAGACATGCTGTTTGCTATTTAAGCCGCTATTTTTATGGCTTTTGCCGGAATGATGGCGTTATGACTCTATTGTGACACGGCGCCGACGTGCCACAGTTAAAAGTCCATTTATATTTCGGCATACAACAAAAAAAAAAAAAAAACCAGATATAGCAAGAACGAATGCTTCAGACTGTGCCCCGCTCTTTGCGGACTTAAAAGTTTCACAAGGAATTATATATATTGATTGCGGCTTTAACTTTAAATGGATTTTGATTTCAATTTTATTTATTTTCGAAAATGTAAATTGTAAATGGAATAATTGTTTAAATATTCAAATCCTTATTTATTTGTTTCTCAAAATTATATATAAAATGTTCTTTTTTGTCTGTCGATAGTCTAATAAGGCATACAGCTACATATAGGATATTCTAGGCTTTAAACTTGTCTTACTTTGAATTGAGATAAATGCAGAATATCAGATATTTCAAGGTTTCGGTTTTAGAATAATTCTGAAACTTTTGGCAAAATTGCATTTTGAAATAAATTGTTTATAAAATGTGTTTCCTAATGTTCAGTTTTGTCTGTC